GATGACAGTCTCTCTTTTCTCAATCACTCTTCGCTTCTTGCCTTGAGTATGCTGGAACATCTTCTCCTGCTTTCCAGAAGTACTTTGATCCAGGATGTGACTCTGAAAGTCTGCTTTGACCTTTGACACCCAAATAATTTTCTCTTAATGTACCGCCAGGGACAGCGTAGTCGTCCCAAAACAATCCCCTCTTCCGTAATTCAGGAAGTAAATACTCTATCATGTCGTCAAATGTCTCTGGAATGCTAGCATAACTGAAATTGAATCCGTCGACATCAGAGACCTCTACCCACCTTTCTAATTCGTCTGCAACTGTCTTTGCATTTCCGATAAGCTTCGCGCCATTTCCTCCCAGAATGAGATGTTCGGCAATGGTCTTTTTGTTCCAGGTTAAACCCTGTGGGGAAACAGATGCCCAGTGATTTACCATACTCCTTACTGCAGGCGGAGCGCTTTCAATAAACCGAAAATCTTCATCGTCACCATACGAGCTTAGATCATATCCAGACCAACCTCCGAATAACGATAGGGCTCCTTCTCGATCGCCGTAACTTGCAAGCTTCTCAAATTTTTCTTGTGCCTTTTCATCGGTCTCAGCAACAATAACCAAAAGCCCAGCGACAATCTTGATACTAGCCGGATCTCTTCCCAATTCCTTAGCTTGCGAGCGAATCGAGTCTACCGACGGGCGAATAAGCTCTGGGGTATGTGCATTCAAGAAAATGGCTTCAGCATGGGTTGCAGCAAATTTCTTTCCCGCTGAGGATGTTCCAGCTTGGAATAGAAATGGGGTTCTTTGGGGAGAAGGTTCACACAAATATGGGCCTGGTACATTAAAGTATTTTCCCTTATGGTTGATCTGCCTTACACCCTTTGGATCCGCATATGAACTCGATCCTGGGGGTTGCACAGCATCATCTCTCCAAGATGCCTCCCAAAGCTTATATGTAACGTCGAGGTATTCATGGGCAATCTTATATCGCTCATCGTGTTCGATTTGAGTATCGAGGCCAAGATTTCGAGCTGCAGAGTCGAGATATGATGTAACTATGTTCCATGCAATTCGCCCATCACTAAGGTGATCTACTGTCGAGAACCTGCGAGCAAGCAGATAAGGCTGTTCGTAGGTTGTTGAAGCAGTCACACCAAATCCAATACTTTTTGTAGCTGCAGCCTTTTTTCTCAGGTCAGGTATTGCTTTGTAGCGAGCCATAATTCTTCAAGAAAGGACTTACCATGGCAGGAATGCTATATAATGGATCATTAATTGGGAATTGAGATGCGGCAGGTATTGTCGGTTCAAGATTGGCAGGTCCTTTGTAAACATCATAACCTCCCAGAACATCTGCGAAGAATATGGCATGGAATTTGGCCTTTTCGAGTTTCTCGGCAAGCGCAATCCATGATTTGATATTCTTGTATTCCGAGCCTTGATCACCAGGATATTTGAAGAGACCCGGGTTGAGATGGCCGGGTGCTTGCATGGCAAATGCATTGAGAATGAGCTGTTTCTTGGTGGAAGACATATTGAATATGCGGATTAAAGTTATCGGACAGAAAAAAACTGATTTGAACAGAGACAATGAATGCTTCCAAGCTTACAGTTTATCTTCCAAATGTAATGAGAGGGGGGGGCGCGCGAGCAGTAAAGGAAACCCAGACTTACAATCTATACTCTAAACCTTAGGTAATGGCATTATCTCAATCAATTGTAGATAGCTGCCAGTGCCGGTACCATGCACATGAAATGACGAGAATATAAGTTCCATCGTGCCATCGTTCGCTGAAGGTTAAAATGCAGCATGATGAAGAGGACTCTCGTTTGATTGAGTATTGATGGCGTCTTATTCCTTGCAAAAGCACAAATACGCTAACCCCGCACGTGCCCCGCCAATGAACTCACATGAAGCTCAACATCAGCTAATCAAGCCAATACATACTAATTCTGGCATGGACTAGTACCGAAGAATGAAGTCGACAACCCCCCATGTAATCACATAATAATTATCCAGATTTTGCCAATCCTATCAATCTTCTTTCCAGTGCCTGTTCCTTCCGAACTGTACCGCATATTTCGTCATGTCGTGCATCAAATAGATGCTCAGATAACCAGAATCGTTACGATTGCAACCCCAACTTACCCCTCCATGTCCAGGGTTGCATGTCTATTTGCGATGAACGGGAGAATAGAGAGTACTCTAATGATAAGGATCTCGAGTTGAGTCTCCTCAGTCCGAAAGCTAAGAGAAAATATGGGTCTAAAAGTCCATGTTGATACAGTTCGTGGATGCTGCAATGAGACACCATAATATCGTGATTGATAGTATCAATTACCTACGTGGAGTGGGTTTGTAATGTGTTTTACTGTTGCCATCTCTTTTGTTTTCAGCCTCGACGTGATACTTTTCAATTGTCATTCTCGTTGTTTAGAAGTCCTAGATAGGAACATAGAGATTTTACTTTACTTACCTAGACATTCATCAAAAATCAACTATTAACAAACCATGTCGTCTTCTGCGGTCGCTTTGGAAACACAGGGAATCGATGCTGCTTCAAACCCCAAAATAGTGTCTTCATCTTCATCGTTTGCGGAGGCGCCAGCTTCAACGACCATCGATGTTAAGGCAAATGGCGATGGCTTGACTCAAAACAAATCTTCTTTACCATTCAGACCTACTCCTCAGCCCTCTTTCGAGATAGAAGACCACCCAGTCGATATTGTTAAACCTCTGAAGGTCTGTGAATATCTTAATTCATGTCTCTAAACGGTACACTAATCAATAACCTAATAGGTTGCAGTTATTGGTGCTGGCCTTGCTGGAATCAATGCAGGTATTCTTTTACCTGCTAAGGTGCCTGGAATCCAACTTACAATTTTCGAGAAGAATGCCGATGTCGGTGGGACTTGGTTTGAAAATATCTATCCAGGAGTTCGTTGCGACATACCTGCAAACGTATATCAATCAACATTTGAGCCTAATACACAATGGTCCGAAGAATATGCACAAGGGAAGGAAATTAGAGAATACTGGCAGAAGGTTGCAAGAAAGCACAATGTATACAATTACCTCAAATTTAATCGCAAGATTGCTGGAGCAGTCTGGGATGAGGAGAATGCACAATGGACGTTGAGTATCGAGAATGTTGAGAACGGAGATATAACGGAAGAGAAATTCGAAGTAGTTATTACGGCAATCGGTAGATTCAATGCTTGGAAACTCCCGGAGTACCCTGGTATCGGCAATTATAAGGGACATCTTCGACATTCTTCAAATTGGGACCCAGACTTTGATCCCACAGGTAAAACTGTCGCGGTCCTTGGAAATGGTGCTAGCGGCTTGCAAGTGGTTCCAAATCTTCAAAAAGTTGTGAAGCATTTAGACCATTATGCACGTAGCAAGACTTGGATTGCGGGATCTTTCGGTGGTGAAGGTGAAGGTAGAAGACTGGAACCAAACTATTTTCCTCCAGATCTCCTCAAATCATTCGAGGATCCAGAAACTTATCAAAAATTTCGAAAAGAGCTTGAGGGAAAGTTCTATGGCCGATTTGCCGCTCTATTTAAAGGGACAGAAGATAACAAGAAACTCGAAGAAGATTTCCGAAAGTTGATGGCAGAACGTTTAAAAAAGAAGCCAGAGTTATTGGACGCTATTGTTCCGGACTTCGCGCCAAATTGTCGTCGTTTGACGCCTGGACCTGGCTATCTAGAGGCTTTGACTGAAGAAAACGTCTCTTTTATTCAAACTCCTATCGAGAGATTTACCGAGGAAGGTATTGTTACAATTGATGGTGTCGAAAGAAAGGTCGATGCAGTGATATGCTCCACAGGAGCAAATATTGATATGCGACCACCATTTCCAATTGTTGCATTTGGTCATAATCTACGCGACGCATGGAATCCTGACCCTCTTACGTATCTTGGAGTCGCAGCACCGTCCTTTCCTAACCTTCTTTTTGTCTCCGGACCCAATGCTCATGGGACAAGTGGCACAGTTCCAAACCAAACTGAAACACAAATAACTTACTTGGCCAAGATACTCCGAAAGGTCAGCCAGCAGAGTATTAAAACCTTTGTCCCAACCAAGGAGGCGACAAATGATTTCATCGCTTACAGTGATGCATTCTTTCCCCGAACTGTATGGACAGATAATTGTAAATCTTGGGCAAACTCTGGCAGACCGGGAGGACGAATTCATGGTCACTGGCCTGGAAGTGCATCTCATGTTAATTTTATAAGAAAGGATCCCAGGTGGGAAGACTGGGAATATACCTATAAATCCAAAACAGGAAATAGATTTGCATATCTAGGAAATGGTTGGACGGTAAAGGAGACGATTGCGGGTAGTGACTTGACTCCATATCTCAAACGCCCAGATCAAATTGATTTGAGAAGCTATCATGAAGAATGGTTTGAAGGCTTATAGAATAGATTGTGTCAGATAATATCGATTTTCTAATATTACACAGATTTATACCACAATCTTCGCGACATGTCAAGGGCCTGTTGGACACAAAACTCTGCTGCTTAACTTTTTCGGGCTCTGAAACTGTTAATTCTGAATTTCCAAAACCCCCATCTTCTAATTAGATCCAGCTATTTGATTCAGACCAGGAGGTTCGAGATTTGACTTTTCTTTCCAGAAGAGAAGTCTAGATGAATTCAACCTACAAGACACCTCGCAAAAAAGATTTAAACATTTTCGCAACGGATCTGATAGAAGAATGTAGACAAGCGTATCTGCTTATCTTTTGCCAAAGCCCCATAATGCATTTTTAGTTCGAGTACGGTGTTCGTAATGTCAAGGTTTCGATTTCGTGCTCGTCACGCCATGTAAACGAGGCGGGAAATACATGTGTACCGACACTTGAGCTCAACATGAGTACCGTGCATGCACATCTGAGAAAAACTTGGATAAATAAAACGGTCTAGGACCCCAGTATCGAATTTTTGCTTCTATGTTGCGCAGTTTGACTTATTTTCCACTTCATTGAGAATCATGGCGTCGGATAAATCAGCAGCAGTCGATACTTCGTTGTCTTCGGATAATGAAGCTCTACCTGTAGTCCGGGAAAAGCATCCAGGTACTTCTTATTCATCCTTCTTATATTTCCTTTCCTGTGTATGCAAAGCTGACAAAATAACAGTAAAATGGTACCGTTCTACTCTCTATAATTCCATAATTCTTGGAATCTGTAACTTCCTGGCCCCAGGTATCTGGGGTGCCATGAATAGTCTCGGCGCTGGTGGTGAAGAGTCTCCTCATCTAGTCAATGCCGCTAATGCTCTCACTTTCTGCCTGATGGTACTATCCTGCTTCTTCTCCTCCGTTCTCGTTAAATATATCGGTATCAAGGCCGCTCTCATTTTCGGTACCATCGGCTATGCCCCTTATGCGGCTGGTCTCTACTGCAATAATCGATATGGAAACGAATGGCTTGTACTTCTCGGCGCCGCCCTCTGCGGTATTTCCGCAGGTGTATTCTGGATGGCTGAAGCAGCCATCGCGTTGAGTTACCCGGAGCCAGAGAACCAGGGAAGGTTTCTGGGTCTGTGGTTGAGTTTTCGTGTTGCCGGACAGGTACTTGGAGGAGTGATTAACCTTGCTCTTAATGCAGATAATTCGCGCAAAGGAAAGGTGTCCTATAATGTATATCTTGTCTTCATCGCTCTACAAGCCCTCGGGCCCTTCGCAGCACTTCTCCTCACATCACCCGACAAGGTTCAACGAACGGATAGAGTGACACCCAATCTCCGCATTTCTGAATCAAGCTGGAGAGAAATAAAACTTACATCGAAGTTATTCATCAGCAAATATTTTTTGTTGTTGGTGCCAGTTATCGCGCAAGGTGTTTACAGTGAGGCGGTCATGTTTACGTACGAATCTGTTTGGCTCAGTGTTGGAGGAAGAGCATTAGGCTCGTTTCTTTCGGGTATTGTGGCAATGATTTCTGGCAACTTATTGGGTGCATTTTTGGATCGGGAGAAGTGGTCTCTGAAGAAGAGAGCGAGGTGGGCTTTTATTGTTATCTTGGGATTGCAGGGTGTAAGTACCGTCCGCTCTTTGATTTCAAGCATCTTGTTACTGATTCCTATATTATAGGTATGGTGGATATGGGGAACCGTCCTGGTCACAAATTACTGGGGACAAAATCCGCTGCCAGTATATGATTGGACCGATGGTGGAGCATTCGTTAGAACCTTTTTATTATTTTTAGGATGGGTCTCTGGCTTTCAGCTGAATTATCTGTTCTTGTAAGTTTCTTCTCACTAAAATCTAGTCTCTATCCATACAGAAACACTTCTCGATGGCTAAACACTAACAACGATTAGATACTTCCTCGTGGGAAACCTCGCCAAAACGCCTGAAGAAGTAGTAAGAATCGCAGCACTACTTCGAGGAACCGAATCAGCTGTTCAGGCTGTTAGTGTAAGTTCGCCCTTTTAATTTTGAAATTCTCGTCCCTACAGTTTTATAACTAACAAAATACATAGTACGGTTTGAACAGTGTTACAGTGATGGGTGATATCGGGGGTATATATCTCAATTTTGGTCTTTGGGGATTAGCGCTGATCCCTGGATGGTTACTGGTAAAAGAGATTGGAGTGAGTCTTGGAGATAGTAAGATTGCGAGGGAGAGGGAGGTGATTGAGAGGTCGTGAAGAGAGAAACAGCAGAGTGATTTATTGTTAGGTGAAGTAGGATTTAATTTTTAGATCATAGACAGTTTCGGTTAATATTATGGATTCGGAGCTCATGGCTTTAGTAATGTAAGATTAACATTCATTATTCTTATGAAACCTTACATATTCTCTGATCAACAGTTTTCCCAAGTGGGACTCAATGCATCATGCGTTTGGCTTTTGATGGACGAGGGTGCATGCAAGGTCTGCTAGATGAGAGATATGGGACTAACGGCTCATTCTACATCATCTCTGTGCCAAGATAATATCACAATATTAATTCATTCACTACCTATCCTCTACTTCATTGTATGCTAGAATAGATGTGCCACTTTCAAACCCAATTTTAATTGGTAAAGCGGATTCTGGGATTGCCAAGAACTCAATCCCGTTCGCTTAACCGTGCCATTGGATGATAGTATAGGGGAAGATTTGTAAAAATAGATTTCCTTTCGTAATTAGTTTTCGTTTGCAAGCTAAATTGTATTATTTAATAATATTGCGTTTCATGGGCAGGTTATCAAAGATCGGCTAATCCATAATCTAGAAAAGATAGAGGAATCGGCGAGTTTGGACAATAGGTAGTAATAAAGAAAATGATGCATTTTCACAGACGGCAAGGGTGTTACGCTCGCTAAGATCTGTGTGTGAGATGAGATTGGCTCAGAATCTGGAGAGTCTGAATGAGATGTCTCTTTCGGATAATTAGGAGGAATTCATTGGCAGTAGCAGTAATTGCCTTTTGGATTTCTTTTCTTTCTTCGAATTCTTAGATTGTCACTTCTAGGATTTTGATGATGTGATGATCCTCATGACTACATAGGGATCAGTTTTCTCGGTCGTTTTTTCCAATGAGAAAGCCGCGATTAGTGCCGAACCTATCATTTCAAGTGAAATCTACCATTCATCAACCTTCTCGAAATTCAAACATGTCATCTGATCTCTCCTCATCGAATAACTAGTCAACGTGAAGAATATGCAGAATCGTACTCGGTGATGTTCCAATCGATACTTCTCGCGCAACCGCCATACAACAAGCTTCATGTGGAGGTGCAACGTACTTTTACTCGGCGTGACGCACAATTTGGGACATTTTCTCTCCCAAATAAGATGAGTGGTGTTGAATTGGCAGGTTATTGGTTTTTACTCATGAACTAATCGAGCATAACTGAGTTTGAAATTAAATCCATGTCATTCTGAATCACAAATACCTCGCAATTCTGTGTGGCATGAAGGATATAGGTTTTGCTAAGGCTGACTCGTCTTGTCGAAGTAACTTTTGCGTCCGGGAGAGCATCATCAGGAATGTCAGGTTCTCAAGATATCAAGCCACAATTAACATTGAATGGGCATTTTGATATAGCTCAATCTAAGCTTCGTGTAATGATATACCTAATTCTTCTCGGCATTTCTGATAAATACCATCTAATATGGCTGTGCCGCGTTGCTAGTGGTTATATCCGACTGATCATTAAAGAGAGATGGCACCATCCCATTCACTGTGCCGCCTCCACACTGCATGTCGAGTATCCCAAGCGAGACATGGATCTGTTTCCGATCGTTTAGTTGTCTATATCTACATTCTTACCATTGACTACGAAATATTTCGAAACTTCAACAAACGCAATCCCCAGAGAATCTCACAAAACTCATATACCAGCATAAAACTCATCACTAGAAACAACATAACCATGACTTTCCGCACTCGAAAAATCGATACCCTCTCATCTATTACAAAACGAGAACGTGACATGCAAGTTCTCTGTCTGGGACTTTCTCGTACTTCCACAATGTGTTGGTCTCACAATTACTATATCTATAATTTGAAAATCTAACTGTCTCCAGCACTTCAAGAAGCGCTCAATAAATTAGGCTACGGAACATATCACTGTCGAGTTGCCGCACCCACAGAGGGACATATTCCTTTATGGCTCGAAGGATTCGATGCGAAGTTGAATGGAAACGGGAAGTCTTTTGGTCGCGAGGAGTTCGATAAGATACTTACTGGATTTAGTGTATGTTACATTTTTAAAAATGTCTTGTATTTGAATGCATGCTGAATAAGTTGCCAGACATGCCAGCTGTGAATTTTTCAGAAGAACTTCTCATCGCGTATCCTGATGCGAAAGTCATCTTGACAACCAGAGATCCAGATAAATGGATCGGATCGGTTGAGAGGTCAATCTATGCGATCATACATTCACGTCTCTGGTTCATTCTCAAGATTGTCTTACCAGTATGTAAACCCTCAGCGTCAGCAAACATGGAGCAATAATACAATTACTTTCCACTAATCAAATCATATAGGAAGCTCTCCCATTCCGTCAACTCCTTCTCACCGCACTCATAGACTGGTCCAATGGCAATCTGGAAGATCGCACTGCTCTTCGTACAGGATTTATCTCTCACAACGAGAAAATCCGAAAGCTTGCTCGGGGAAGACTTCTTGAGTTCTCGCCCAGAGATGAATGGGGGACCCTCTATGTGCATTTTTGGATAAACCTGTTCCAAAGACACCATATCCTTATGTGAATGCGGGGGGTAATACATATAGGTTATTTGTGATATCTATGGTGCTTTACTTTTTTATCAGGTGGGCTAAGCGAATCGGTGCCATAATCGTGGCATTGGTGACCTACAAATGGTTAAAGCACTGAGATATTGCATTCCTCTCGTATCACGGTTATGCAATGATAGAGAGATATGGGGTGATGCTCGTAGCATGAATATTGATTTCCGTTTATTTTGAATAAATTGCATGGCTAGCTCGGCTGTGATTTCCCCTTTTCACAACGACTCGATCTTACTATCGAAAATACTAGAAGAAACGTCGATACCAAAATCACGGCCCAATCTTCGAGCTTGAAATATCACACTCGCGACTTCATTCATATATACCAATCCGATATATCCCGCTGTAGATGAAATATATTGACGGCATCCATCCCCATCTCCTCCTTAGAAACGACAAATATCACCATCCTCGCAACCCCTTAAAAATAATTTAATGCCTAAATAGAAAATACCATAATCCCCACAACATGAAGAATAAAAACAAAGATTCAACAACCCCAAGCATAAAACATGCAGTCCTATTTCCACAATACAACACGACCACGAAAAACGTTATAATTCCTTCTCCAACACCCACAAAAAAACACTCAAAACTAAAAGATCGTAACCATCACCGGCGCAAGCCATTTGAACATAAGAATACACATAAAATTTTCAAGACGATAGAACAATCAATTATCATACCAAGCCAAAGCAATGACAAAGATAAAGATTTCCCCGCTATCATTCTATTATTGGTTAAGCATCGAAACAATACATCATACCTACCTACCCACCTATCCAGTGATCCCAAGGCCTTACAGAAGAATATCTAAACCAACTCATTTCATTCCATTGCATTGATAAATACTAAGGAAATCAATCCCTCTACCTGCCTAGATACTATAAGCCAAAGTTCTTAATTTAATACTTCACTGACTATAAGAGCTTAACAAGCTCGGTAAATATATACATACAAGCTGATATGTTATCTAGATCAGGTAGACAACCAGCGTAAGTAAATCGACATGGGTCACCGACTCAAGTGCTTTAATATTTAAAATCCCACCATCCCTATATTGTTCAATTTCCTAACCAATATCCTAGAACGCATAGAAATACTCAATACTTCGATAATCTCTACATTGAAGAAACTTAAAAAGTTCATTCAAATATTAAATCTAATTTTCGACTCCTGTTAGACTACGAGAAGAGCAAAGAAGACAAAATCACACCTTCACTATCAATCAATGCAAATCAATGCAAATCACGACACCTCACCCAAAAAATTCAATCAAGCTCCCACACTCCCTTCCCTCTCTCTATGTCAAAACCCAAGCATTCATTCCCTTCAGATGATTCACGAACCCCTATCCCGCCGCCCTGACCAACTCCCCAAACCTACTCCCCTCTTCTCGGGCCAAAACCTCCGGATTCCCCACTTCCACCACCATCCCCCGATCCATCACCACCACCCTCCCATAATCCATCACCATCTCCAACCGATGACTAACCGCCACCACCGTATACCCCTTAAACTCCTGACGGATGACCCCCGCCATGACTCTCTCCGTCTGCAGATCCACACTCGAGCTCACCTCATCTAGTAACAAAATGCCCTTATCATCTCCCCCTCCTCCAATCCCCAAATTCCCAGCACGAATCCTCCTCCGCAGAAGCGCGCGACCTAGAGAAAAGAATTGTCGCTGTCCCGCGCTGAGCGTCGACGCATTCATACCCGCGTCCAAACCACCGCGTTCCTGGATAAAAGACCAGAGATCCACGGTTTCGAGGACGGCGCGACATTCTGCGGGGGTGGAGATGTGGGAGGGATCAAGATTAGTTTGGAAGGTGGTGCCGTCGGGGAGGAAGACTGCTTCTTGAGGAACGGCAATGATGCGCTGGCGGAGAGCTTCGCGGTTGATGTTGCGAAGTGGTATGTTATCGATGATGGCATTTGCGGCGGTTTCGTAAGTGGGGTCGAGCAGTTTGAGGAGGAGCGCGATTAGACTCGATTTTCCGCTGCCGGTGCGGCCACAAATCGCAATTTTCTCGCCGGATTCGATGGTGAGATTGATGTCGCGAAGAGCTAAACTAGCTGTGCTATCAGTTGCATCTTCCACACTGTTAAAGGTATTAGCTTTACTCAATAATAGTTATTGGAAACCTCATCTCTTACTCGTAACCTGCAGATATGCCCTTCAATTCAACCATACCACCATGAGGCCACTGTTCAGGAGGAACAATATCCTCTTCATCCTTATCCTCGGGCTTAACATTCTCATTAAACATCTTCAATCGAGCGATTGCTCCAATCGAAGTTTCCAGCTTAGTGTAATAAGTGACAATACCCGAAAGATTCTCCCCAAAACTAATAAGTGTGTATAAAGAAGCACCGGCAAACCCAGAATCGGAGTGAAGTCGAACGGCAAGTGTTGTCACCACTACCGCCATTGCCATGACTACAAGATCCAGAACAAGGTTGAGCCATTCTTGAATCATGAGCAGGAAATAGGCGGGTCGTTGACTAGCGTTGATTAGACGAGCATTCTTTTGAACATCATCGGAAACAAAACCTGTTTAATTTAAGCGTCAGCAACTACGTCTTTCCTCAACATAGAATATCACTGCAAAACTATTGAAAATGCGATTTTGTCTCAAAAAGTTAAACATTACTCACCAAAAGCTCTCAGTGTAGCAATACCCCTAAGAGTATCAAGGAAATGCGTGCTACACAACCACAAATTAGCATGAGCATAACAACCTATCGAGCAACAATATTTTGGCGCCAAACTTACTACAAAGGACTTTTTGCCTCAAGATCCAGCAACCTGAGCTGTCGAGACGTTCGCAGGTAAAATCGCTGCACGACATAAAGCAAAGCGCCCAGAAGCGGGTAGCTTATAGCCAAGTACGCAGACGAAGTAAGCATAACAGCCATTTGTCCGATCGCTTGAAACACCTGAAACATCCGCGTTAGACTACAGCACATATGAATTCCCTTCCGAGGGTTTTGACGACGTCAAGATTATGAAAAACTCACACAAAACAAAGTGTTCAGTGTTGCATTTGGCAACTCGGTATCTATAAGATTTAGATCTTGAGAAAAGAGGTTCGTTACAACACCGGTATCCGTCTTGGTAAAAAATCCTAGTGGTGCTCGGATAAGTGTTCGCAAAGCATCGTGATGAAGTTTAGCACCTGCTCTTTTAACAGAAACGATGAAAAGCGTGATGCCAAGAAGAAGTAATGAGAAGAGGCCGCTTATTTGAAGCAAAGCGTATATTCCAGCGTAGTAAGCGTGTGATTTAGAAAAAGTGTTGTCGGTCCAATAATCGAGCCCTGTGATTCGTGACATTAGTCCTATGGAGCTTTGCGGTTTGATTAAGATTCCAATGATCTAGCTCAACATGGCAAGTTGATCGAAACCTCACTATCCATGAGTAGAATCAACTTACAAATTGTAGGAAAATTAGTGAAGAAGCCCCAAAGAGCAGCAAAGAACAAACTACAAACTGCTGAAAACCAGCCCATACTCAAAAAGTAGTGCTTGTATACCGTTCCATCACCCATTTGATGATATTTATCCGCTTCCGGTGCAAGTGACGACGTTTCAGCTGTCTTTGTCGTCTCTAGCACATGTGGCTCTGATCGACCAACATTTTCCTTCGGCGTTATATCCTCCAACGAAACCTCGCTATCAGAAGAACTCTTCAATCCTAAACGTCGAACATAACCTTGTCTTCTCATCAACTCATTGAAATTACCTTGCTCTACAATGGTGCCTTCTCCAAGCGTGATAATGTAGTCTGCTGCTGGTAAATGTCTCACGCTATGAGTGCAAAGCACGACCGTACAGCGGCGTTTTCGTAGTAGTCCATTAGCACCAAAGACCTGCTGGAATACTTTTTCCTCGGTATCCGCATCTAGACCACTGAATACATCGTCTAGCACCAGTAGGTCGGACTGCAAATATAGAGCTCGTGCAAGAGAAACACGTTGCTTCTGACCTCCTGACAAGATTATTCCATCGGATCCAATATTTGTTTGGTCTCCGAGTGGGAGTGTTGCTAGATCAAAGACTAGTGAGGTAGCATTGATAACTTCAGCATACCTCTCACTATTAAAAGGAGAAAACCCTATGATATTTTCCCTAACCGTCCCGTTATAGAGAAAAGCTGCTTGTTCACAGAATCCAACGTGGGGAAATCTGGTGCTCAAAGACACATTACCTTCGCTAAAAGGAATTTCTCCAAGAAGTGCTTTGCAGAGTGTCGATTTTCCAGACCCAATAGGTCCAACGACAATAGTGAGTGAGGATTTTGGTACTTTAGCATTCACGTCTCGTAGAACAAAGTTATCTTCTTCCCATCCAAACTTTCCATTTTGGATGACAATAGGAGGCTTCAAGTCTTGTTCCGAGTCTAGGGAAGCTACAGTATCAGTTCTAGTCTTCTCTGCGTCCAACTTCCTATCAATTAGTACTTTTCGGAAATCGTGACGATTTTGGCACTCCAAAAACGCCTGAATACGCCCGAGACAGGCTATCCCAGAGATAAGCTCCGGAGTAGATTGAAATATATCAGAGAGCGGAACCGTGAGAAGCGTAAGAAAAGAAAGACTCGTAAAAACCTTCGAAGCATTCAATGTTTCCGAAGTAAATGCAAAGGTTAGCGGTGGACCAATCAACAGTGGAATGAAACCAAAAAGCGCCGCAATGATGAAAATTTTGCGAAATCGTGCTCCGGCTGCAAGTTCCTCAACTCGAAGTTTTTGTACAAAGTCACTGACGGTGCCAGAGAGTCCAGAGATCTTTAAGTTCTTCACGCTCGCGATGACGGTAGCCGTTAAGCCTACACGTTTCTGGACGCCCGACATCCAAGTCCTCTGCGAATCTCCAGCAAAATTCATTAGGATTGCCAAGCCGAAAAAACAAACTATAACAAGTCCCATTGGTGCAATGAACACCAGACCAAGTCGAGTGTATAACATCCACCCTGCGATTGCGGCCTGGACAATGCTGGCCCAAACTTCGTGCAAATTTCTCATACCCATCTTGATTCGCTCTATATCAGTGCTCATCAAAGTAAGTGCGGCGCTGTCGTCACCAGCTCCAATACGAGCTTTTGTGACATTAAGGTAAGTTTCTGTGGCCAGTATTGATCTTGCCATAGTGCGTGTTCGATGATGAAGGTACCTATAAATAAGTATTAGTGATCAATATCATAGATTTTAACCAATGATTTGCAACATACCAATAGAAGGCTCTTGAAATAGCAATTCCAGAGTAGATTAATAAACTGGCGCCAATAAATCCATACCCAACATTCGCATCAATTTCAGGCTGAGCTAGGGTTTCCAACAGCCTTTCGATAAAAAGAGGTTGACAAAACGTGAAGGCAATAAGTGCTAGGCGCAACGGTATAGGAAATAAAAGAGGGACTTTCAATGAGTGAATGAGCACCTTCAAAAGACCAAACTTATCGCCCTTCAATTTGGAATAATCCATATTTTTGGAGAACTCATCGTGCAGTGATTTCGCATCAAAGGAGCTATCTAAAGGATAAAGATCTTCAATTGCTAAAACCTTGTTATATCCCATCAAGAACATCTTATTGAGCCAGAAGAAGACACCGAGCGAGAATATACCACTCGTCTCTTCCGGACTATGCTCTTTCTGATTCCAGGTTACCCATTTGGACTTTTTCCGTGATTCCAAGAGCAGGATTATACATTTGAGAGCCAGAGCGGTTATGAAGATACTGCTGTAAACAAGCCCGGACTTGTTGTCCGATGACAGGAATAGTGTTCTTGCTTGAGCCGCATCTAACAGAAGAGTAAAAAACAAGTAACTATTCAACACTACTGATGGCCTTGGACTTCTGCTATGATCAATAACACTTAGGGGTATCATGCACAGGGCAGCTACCAACTTGAGAGCCGACGCCGCTACGAACATGCTAGATACATGCAAAGATGCAACCGCTCCCAAAATGAGAAGTGAGAGTTCCAGAGCAACATATATCACAATAGCAGCCTACGACACTTCAATCAGCACATGTCCATCATCCCTCTAAATCCTCGAGCTCGAATCAAAATAAAACAACATACCACTTTGACAAGTTGAAACCCCGGCGCATGTACAACCGTAGGCTTCCGAGCCTGAGAAACCATCCGCCAACATGCTATCACGATGAACAAAGCAGAGGGTATAATGGAGAAGAACAACTGCTCAAACTGTATGCTGAAATCAAACTTCGCCTGATTCATTTGGAGTAGATTCTCCCCTCCATTGAAGAAAGGCATTCTGCATGCCGAAAATCCTGACTGCTTCAGTCCAAGTCGATTTTGCCGTCGAGGCAAGCAATATCCAGTTTTATTTCAGGACGCTGGAAGTATTAGTTGCGTTGTTGTGACCCGATCTCAGGATGACCAAGTTGATAAAACAAGCAAGCACAAGAGTCCATAGGGCTAGCTACTTTAAATAGAGCTTGTTAAATTGGAGCAAAAGAGACGACATCACGGAGGCTCGGAGGATGACACGCAAGTAAGTCTGTGCTTCATAAGCTTATCTAGGTACTTGGGGGTTAGCGAAAGCTATTAATCCCTGGCGATGACAATGACCAAATTAGGAAGGTCGTTATATGACGATAGCCTAGGATACCTTCAAGTGGAGGGTATATATCAAAGAATTCGTAGAGTCGAACCAACCATTCTCCATTGTGCAAGATCATAGCATCCCAGTATTCCCAACAAAATACATGACCGTCAGCACTAGCCTGCTTGTCTTTCAATCGTACGACGGTTTCCTCTAAACGATGATGAATGAAATCACTTAATAGCCATGAACACTTCATAGCCTGGTATCAATAATATTTTATTTTTGCATTCGCATGCCTATTTGATGTCAAGAGTAATGATCAGAGTACAAAACCCCTAGGAATGATAAAACTCCAGCCCAATCCCCTAATTATCAACATGTGAGAGCTAAACGTGATGTACATGTCAATTTTATCAACATCATTAAATTCTCTCTCTGTGAGAGTCCCTTCACACCCCTCTCACTGTTTTACTTCTCGAATCCCCCCCTATTACCCACCACCACAACCACCAAACTCGTCACCATCAATGCACCTGTAATCATTGCCACAAGCGCGATACTTCCCCTACTAGCTGGGAACTTTCCTCTAATAATATAAAACTGCCCTTCAAAGTATCGATGAAAACCTACTGAGAGCATGAGAATCGATATTCCTACGAAAGTGGCGCCCAAGGGTTTGCCAAGGTGGCGGAGACTGCTTTTAGGCTCTGGTGGGGCGGGGGTAGTGGAGCTTGAAGTATTGAGGCGGAATCTAGGGAGATAGAAGGTTAATAGGGAGTGAGGAGGTGGGGACGGAAAGGGACGTACAGTTGAGTGATTGCAATCCCGATACTAGCGAAGGCGAGGGAAGTTCGCAACCAAGCTAAAAATGTTCTTTCTATCCACACCCCATAGTCAGCAACATAGCAAATCAATACATATCCATCCTCAGACGTGTGACAAACGAGTCGTGTGATCTGAAATTTAGCGAGAAAGAAACCACATACCAAGTGCCAAATGATCCCTCGCAACACTGCCCTTATTTTCCAACTCAATACTTCCATACTCATCCATCATTCTCTTCCACCATTTTCCTATCCTTCCGCTTCGCTTCGTCCTACTCCCATCTTCAGTAACTACCCCCTCAGCTTCGGACCCTGAGGATCCTCTCCCTCTTCCCGTCCCCCATACTCCTCTCTTGTTTGGGTCCTTTGCTCCAAGTTTCCTCTTCGTGCTGTTATCTCCATTATTCATATCTGCGGTGATCGCTGGAGTTCCACCACTGACGCCTCCATAGTTCATGTCGGGTCCGCGTCTCAATACACTCGTTTCTTCATCTGCGCTACTTTCCCCTCTGCTTTCTTTACCATTTGTATGTCCATGTCCATGTCCATTCCCAATCTCATTCTCATATCCATCTACCCCCCTCCCAGGACTCTGACTCTCCTCCACATCACCAGGAGTATCCATTGCAATCTTCCTATTCCTCGCTTCTCCCAAGATACTATCAATCCTCTGTCCCTTCCCCTCTTTAATTCTCTGGCTCCCTTGGGCACTAACACTCCCACTCCTGCTTCCACTCCTGCTACCTGTTCGCGGACTCGGACTCTGCCCTTGATGTATATTGGAGCTCGATCCAAACTCGATATTCGCCTTCGGAGTATTCGGTCTCAATTGTAATGTATCTGTCGAGCGCGCATTCTCATTCGCATACGATCGTATCCTATTCAAATCCGTCTGCGAACTCGAATTCGTCGCACTTATATCCAACGAAACCTGCGACTGCGAATTTATCCTCCCCTCGATGCCATCCGATCTCTTTGTACTCTCCATTGTACCCCCAACACAACGTCCCTGGCACCTACTATCTCGTCCTATCCCAGCACGCACACTACACTATCCCACCGCGCAATTTCTCCGCTTGCAGATAGATTTAGCTGCAGCCTCTCAATCAACCAATTACCGCAATCGCTATCGTGCAACCCGAGTGCAATTGTCCAATCAATCGATCTAGAGACTCCAACCTGGTACAAAGCAAAGCCGCCTCTTCCCTACCTCTCGCACTGCGTCTTGCAGCCAAACTCGGAGACGAACCCTTGGACCAAGGGAAACTCAGCGCACGTATATCTCTCGGCGAATTGCGTGCTTCCCTCTCACTCTCCTCTTCTAAACTCGATGATAAACCTATTTATGTAATCACGATTAATCCAAAGTAATGATTGAAAACCAAGCAGAAACGAAAGTCTCTGAAATAAATACTAAGAGCTCCTTTCAGCTCTTGCAGCTGTTAAATAACTAGCTTAATGCCGAGGGCGGAGAACATTTAAAAGGAATCTAGCCTAGAAGTCGGTGGTGTGTGGGGTTCCGGGTTTCTTTGCGTAGGTAGGTTAGTCTTTGCTGTAGGGTGAAAATTAAGCACAACATTAACCTTTAACTCCCCAACAGTAATAAATCTCCTTACAAAGAACCAACCAGAGCTGCTGCCACAGTATTTTGATACTTAGACAAGCAAATGAAAACGAAGATGTTATAGCATATTCTTCAACAGATAAACCATTCTTCCACCTATAATAGTATAGAAGGGATTTCATGAAATTACTACCAGATGGATGGCTGAATCATGTGTCGAAAGAAGTAGGTACTAGATAAGTAGGTATCGAAAAAAGGGGGATCTCAGGCATTTGATGGATCAGTAACGGTAGGGCTCAATGTATCTACTGGCATTACTGATCTAAGCATCAATGATAATCTACAGGTTCACGACATTGATCAAAGGTAGGGCCATCATTCACGTTTACATTCACACTCACAGGTTCAGAAAGACAGTCATATATGAACATCATCAGGAAAGAAAAGTGAAGAAATTTATAAGAAACCCTAAGAGATTTTAATTTGTATACACGAAAAAGGCCACACACTTCATCTGAATGTTCTATTTACTTGTTTTTTTTTTTGATTTTTCTGTTCTCAAAAATATCTCAACATCTTTCTTGAAAAGGTAGAATAATTAGAGTGTAACTGATCTCCCTTTCCATGTCTGTGTTGTGCCGACTAGACTACTTTATATTGATACATGTACCATACTCTGCAGCCTCTGCCGTCAAATTTTCCATTCACATCCACATGAAACAAGTGTTATAGCTCTCTACCACATCTTCTTGGGAGTGAGATATGGTGGTAATTTCTGTTTCGTATGCGCGCTCCGTCCAAACATTGGTAGCCAGTATGAAAACATATGCAAGAGTGCCTGCGGCAAATTGATAAAAAGGCCGTAGGGATAAAGGGACACTCTGTACTAGGAGCACGTCTCCTTCAAAATGCGTAACGGATACATAGAAGAGTTAACCAAGGTGATTGCTTCAAGGAAAGAGGGCTTTCCCATTCGTCATATGAACATTCATCTGCTGAGAACACAACTTTTTTTCGACCAACAGCCCCAACCCCCTCAAGAAATCCATCCATGCTTATAACAACCATCTGGAACGTGGTATTCCAACGGCCAGATATCTCCCACTTCAATAATGTAAAAACATTAGCGACATTTATTACAAAGGAAAAGTTACCACACGAAGTACATTCAGAGATCGGATGGAGGGGGTATCTTATTGACAAATTTGTTTGAACATTGCAAGTCGAGCGTGAGTTCGAACATCCGAGACTTAGAATGACTTGAGGGCGTGTAAAGAAAAAAAGTGACTACAACGATCATAAGCCGCAATTGTGGATATGCGCGCGGAAAGAAAACAACAATGTGCACCGGAAATTTTGTAAAGGGAAAATTGAGAAACACAAGCGCCTATGATGAGAAGACGTATGTAGCGGTTCCGCCCGAGAGAATGGAGACCTAAAGGATTTGTTAGTTTATTCCCCCACACCTTATAAATAGACCGGTGAACTTACGGTGCAACCTGTTGGGGACTCAACACCATTGTTGTAGTATGTTCCAGATGAGTACGAACATTTTCCGGAGACATCACCCTCGATAGTGATGGTGAAGTTCAAGGTGCCATATGTGTTGGTTGGGGTGTTGGGGATGATTGACAACCAAGTGGTACCAGAGGCATCTCTTCCAACACCAGCATTGACAGGAGCCCAGTTACCAAGGTTTCCACCTGAAGTACCCCAAACACAAGCTTCAGAGGTAGACGCTCCTTGTGGATTGATGTAGTATTGTGCAGAAGTTGGAAGTCCTTCCCATGAGTAGTAGTTACTGGCATCTGGGCAAGTCAAGTCATAGGTTTGGCCAGGGGAAGTTGCCAATGGGACGGTCTCAGCCTCGAGACCAGGGTAATCAGTACGGCAAACAGCAACAGTGCTGTCGAGCTTGTTCTCAACCTTGACAGATCCAGATCCAGCAGTGCAAAGTTGCTTAGTGGTAGTTCGGGACAATTCGAGCATGCCGTTGGAGTTGCAGTAAAGACCACCGATGGACTCACCAGTGCTTCCTTGTGCGGTAGGCCATTGAGATTTCTGGTATCCCGCTGGGCAGGCGTACGAGCAGAAGGCGCCCTTGACACATCCGCCGCTGGTAAGTGTGTTGATAGTAACGATCGAGGAAGCAGAGGTGGTGTAACCAGGGGTGCTTTGAATACCGATCCATCCATCTAACCCGAGGTAATCGACAGCAACTGGGCCATACTTGGATGGGAAAGTGGAACAAGGGATTTTGCCACTTGGGAAGTCTTCCCAGCTGCCGGAGCTGCTGGAGGAAGTGGAGCTATCAGAAGAACTGTAGCTACTGGCCGAGGAGGAGGCAGCAGCCGCACTGGTAGAGGCCACAGAGGCGACAGAGGCGACAGAGCTTGATGCTGAAGTGGATGATGCAGCGCTTGATTTCGGGGTGTATGCAGCCTTGGTGGAAGAGGCAGATGAGGAAACCTCAATGAATTCCGCGGCAGCCTTGACGATCGAGCTCACGGAAGTCGCTGCTGGAGTGGTTGAAGCAGCAGCTGATGTAGAGGCGACAGATGGGGATCCGGTGTACCAGTTAGTAGCAGAAGGGGCATCTTCGACAGCATCTCCAACCAAAATGTATTTTCCAGATTTCAATCCGTCTTGAACTTCGGCCAAAGAGATATCCTTTCCATTGAGCATGTAGACCGTCTCGACTGGACCTGGCATAACCTCTGTCACGGAGACAACGGTATTTTCGCGTGCGACCTTGTTTGCTCTAGCTGGGTGACGGTGTTGATGGTTGTGTGGTTGCGCAATTGCAACACCGGCAACGCTGAGAAGCGCAACAGAAACTGGGGTGAACTTCATTGTGAAGAAGTGAACTCTTGCGATATGGATAGACGAAAGGTTTCTTGATTCGGAACTTCAAAGGCTCTTAATATATCGACTGAATTGGACGGAGTAAACGAGTGAGGTTGACTTCAAAGTAGAAGAGAAGATATTAGCATTCCGATTTCAGATGCGACGAATTGAGTATGCTAAATCGAAAGGCGAGGCGAAGTTGAATAGCAATAGCAATGGCAATGGGCGAACGAGCGAGTCGACAGGGAAATGAGATTTAAATGGAGAATGGCGGGACGGTGAATAAATGAAAACACGAGAACTCGCAGTACATACCTTGGCTATGGGTCTTTCTGACTTAATCTGAAAGATTCACTCTAAATGAAAGGTCTGTTGCTAGGGGATGGAGAATAATTTGTAAGAGGGAGAGATGAACAAATTAAGTGTTGATGTAAAACAGCGTCGCTTGGGGGAGAGAGAGAGGGAGGGATTGTAAAGGATAATTGAGGATGTGTATTTTGATTTGATTTTTGATTTGATAATTGAATTTTTGCAGGACGAGAGAAGGATCTGATTGTTTTGAGATAAAAGTCGCTGTTCCAAATGAATGTGGTAGAGAGTTGGTTATTTTGGGGGGGGGATGATAACAACTCTCAGTTGGGAGGGAATGCTTTGAGAGGGGGAAAAGAGGGTTGATGAGGTTTGAAGGAGTGAGGTGGTTAAAGGGAGAAGTATCACGAATAAGATGAGAAGTCTTTTCCAAGGTAATCACAGAATAGCACGGAGTATAAGAAAACAGAGGAGGACCAGGAGACGGACGTGGCTCAGGGAATGAAAGCAAGAAGGGGTGAACAAGGGTGCCAGACCATTCAGAGCCAAGCATTGAAATTAGATTCAGGTACAAAACAATTACATGAACCAATGAAAAGATCACGAATGGACGACGCTAAGGGGAGTATCCTAGCTTGGGCCGGCTCTCATCCCTACTCACCTTGTCACCTTGTCAGTACTAGCGTGTGGGCTAACCACATTTGGTAGCATATAATATAAGAGATGAACTCCAAAACATTGAGATTCATTTTGATTTCGGGATTTGCAGCATGGGGGGCAATGGGAGATATTGGGTCTGCCCAGGTGATAATTGATCATTGTGATGCTTCCGTCTTCCGCTTCCTCCCAAATACTTTTTATACTTTGATTACCGTCTGTGATAGGGTCATCGATGGCTCAGATGAAGGTCAAATTTGAAGATTCTGTTTATTTTTTTTTTTCCCTATAGATGGTGAATTTAGAGGCTTGGCTGGACGGGCAAGAGATATTTATGGGGTAGGAGTAGGGATGAAGATGGGAGAGATGGAAGACAGACAACTGCAGTTTGGAGTCTGGACAGGATAGTGGACTCTGATGGAGATGTGAGTGTAGAAGCAGCCCAAATTGGTGGAGGAAGTTAAGATGGAAGTTAAGATGGAAGTTAAGAGAGAAGATCAGTACAGTACATACCGGTACCTATGTACCTCGTAGGTAGATATACTTACTCTCGAGTTACTTACACATACGTATAATACAGTAAGTGTACACTAAGTATACACTTACTTATT